TGGCCAACTGACTGGAAGAGATCCATATTTATGCCCATTCCAAAGAAAGGTGATTCAACAGAATGCGGAAATTATCGAACAATATCATTAATTTCACACACAAGTAAAATTTCGCTGAACATCATTCAAAAGCAATTGCAGCAGTACATCCACAGGGAACTGCCAGAAATTCAGGCTGGATTCAGAAGAGGATGTGGAAACACGGATATCATTGCTGATGTCAGATGGCTCCTGGCTGAAAGCAGAGAATACAGGAAAGATGTTTACCTGTGTTTTATCGACTATACGAAGGCATTCAACTGTGTGGATCATAACAAATTATGGATAACATTGCAAAGAATGGGAATTCCAGAACACTTGATTGTCCTCATGAGGAACCTGTACATAGACCAAGAGGCAGTTGTTCCAACAGAACAAGGGGATACAGTGTGGTTTAAAATCAGGAAAGATATGCGTTGGGGTTGTATCCTTTCACCATAGTTTTTTAATCTGTATGTTGAGCAAATAATCTGAGAAGCTGGACTATATGAAGAAGAATGGTGAATCAGGATTGGAGGAAGATTCATTAACAACCTGCATTATGCAGATCACACAACCTTGCTTGCTGAAAGTAAAGAGGACTTGAAGCACTTACTGATGAAGACCAAAGACTACAGCCTTCACTATGGATTATACCTCTACATAAAGAGAACAAAAATCCTCACAACTGGACAGATAAGCAACATAATGATAAAGGGAGAAAAGATAGAAGTTGTTAAGGGTTTCATTTTACTTGGATCCACAATCAACACCCATGGAAGCAGCAGTCAAGAAATCAAATAACGCATTGCATTGGGCAAATCTGCTGCAAAAGACTTCTTTAAAGAGTTAGAAAGCAAAGATATCACTTTACGGACTAAGGTGCGCCTGCCCCAAGCCATGGTGTTTTCAATCGCTTCATATGCATGCGAAAGCTGGACAACAAATAAAGAAGACAGAAGAATTGACACCTTTGAATTACAGTGTTGGCAAAGAATATTGAATATACCATGGACTGCCAGAAGAACAAACAAATCTGGCTTGAAAGAAGTACAACCAGAATGCTCCTTAGAAGCAAGAATGGCACAACTTGGTCTCACTTGCTTTGGGCATGTTATCAGGAGGGACCAGTCCCTGGAGAAGGACATCATGCTTGGTAAAGTAGAGGATCAGGGAAAAAGAGGAAGATTCTCAACCAGATGGACTGACACAGTGGCTGCAATAATGGGCTGGAGCATAACAACAATTATGAGAATGGCACAGGACCAGGCAGTGTTTTGTTCTGCTGTACACAAGGCTATGAGTCAGAACCGGTCCATGGCACCTAACAACAACAATTTTTCAGTTCATGATAAAGTGTTTTGTCAGCTGTGCTTTCCAGAGGGCAACAGTCCTTGGTTGTAATGGATTACTCTTTTCAACTTGTTGTGTTTTGTGGGTTAAGATTAGGATTTTATTCCTAAATTTACAAGAGAGATTGAAAACCAATGATGGGGGATGTAAATCACATTTATCTCAGCCAATTCGGTATATAAATATTTATTAAGTGGCTACCATGTTATTCTGTGCTAGACACTGTAGAATATGAATGATTCAAAATAGCATAAGAGAGGACAGTGAAAAGGGAAGCAGATCTTCTATGACCATATGAGAAAAAGAATCATGTTAGAGAGCATAATTTCAACGATTTTGAGAGCTTTGTAAGTGCCAGAAATCCACATAACGTCATACTTACTGTTTCCTATTACTCCATTTTAGTTTCCTCCACAGGCTTTAGTTATTATTAAATGCAGGAAGCCCCAGGTCAACTGAGTGAAAATACAGAGCTGATGTCAGCTTCATGAAGACATCTATGTCCATCTTGTTGGCGGCTACATAGCCCACCATCTAGCAAGTGCCCAGCACAGTGAGTGCTCAATAAATGTTTATTAAAATGAACAGATGAGCCAACTCTTTTCCAAAAGAATTGGTCAAGTCAGTTTAAACAAAATCAGGGAGCTAGAAACTGGTTTCGTGGGTTATCCAGATAAGAAGTGCTGCAAAGATTTCACCGTCGTCTGAAGTCAGTCTGGGGTAAAGGGGAACAGGGAGCTTGAAGAGATGAGGACAGAATAGCAGACAGAGTCCCTGGGGCCTAGAGAAAGAAGAAAGGAAGGACCACAAGATTTTGCTAGCAGCTTCCACTCACCCTAGAGACAGATCTAAATGTCCCTAGAGCCCTAGGTACCCAACCTACAACTGGCAGTTGGCCTTTTGCCTCTCAAAGGTTCTAGGTCCCAAGCCAAGGGGAAGTTAGTCTTCTCCAGCCCAAGGCCTCCTAGCCCCAAGAGCTCATGGGGTCAGGAATTAAGGATAATCAAGGAACACCAAAAAGATCTCATCTTCTGTAATTGTCCCTGACAAGCCCTGAGCCCATCACCTGGTATCTAGTAAACAAAATGCCCTCTGACCCAGGTAAACAGATGCTATATCATCAACTGAATACTGTATCATCTACTGAGTAGGTATATCCCATCAAGTGAGCAAACTTGTCGCATGCACTTCCTTTTTTTTTTTTTTTCATCCTTATTCATGCCATCATTGCCCCCCTCCCATTTTTCTTGCCCCCTTTTAAGTCTCTTCATCCTTCCAAGCCTCTCTCTATTTTCTCTTCTGGTTCTGATGCCCTTAAGCCCCCTGCCCCTCCAACTCAGATTCCAGATTCATGCCTTTACCCCTATTCCCAACCTCTCTTGCTAGGTCCATTTGCCCTCTCCCCTGCCTGCTCCTCCTCCCCTGCCCCTACCCTGCTCTGCCTTCTTCCCCTTGTCCCGTCACTAGGATCCTGTGGGTGGCTGTGGATTCAGCCGACTGCTTCTTTCTCTTCGCTCTTATCTTAGTGGGGTCCATAGCCAGTTCTCCTTTTGCTCAGAGATGTGGAGGCAGTTGCTAAGAGACAGTGAAACGTCAGTACCTGGTCCTCGAGGAAAAAGGGGAGCGAGAAAGGGAGAGAGGAGGGGAAGGGAGAGAGGAGGGATGGAGGGAGGAGGAGAGAGGGAGAGGAGGGGGAGGGGAAGAAGACCTGGCAGAAGCCTCATACCCCAGAAGCCTCAGCACCAGCTGAGTTTCAGGGAGAAGCATTTGGATTCTGTGAACTTTTTTCTAAGCATCCTCTCCCTGGTCTCCTTTTTGGGTAAAAGAGGGAGCACGAGGACATTGGGACAGGAAGCTACAGAGGATGCTGCCCCGGGATCCAGTAGACCTAGAGGAGGAGATGCCGGGGGAGGGGAATAGCTGTGGAGGCAATCTGTTGTCTTGAAGGAATGAGCGAGCGGGGATTCCAGGATGAGCGAGGGAGACCCGTGTTGGTGGCAGATTGATGGCTGTGTCCTTGGAACGGAGTGAGTAAGCTCATGAGGGCCTGTGGGAGTGCGAGGGGGGAGACCTCGGGGCTCCGAGGAATGAGTCTCAATAAAGGGGAGCTGGGGTGGTTTCCCAGGGGGTGGATTGAGGCTGGAAGGAGAGGCAGTGCCCGAAGAGGCAGCCAGTTAGGGGAGGAAAAGTGAGGACAGCAGGTGGGCAGGGAGAAGCGAGGGGCCACGCTGGGCCGGGGTGGTGGCAGTCTAGGGTGCCAGGTGTGTCATCGCCCTCTGTCCCTCTGGCTGCGAGGAGAGGACTGAGTGTGGGTGTGGGCTTCAGCTAAGGGGCAGCAAGATGAGGAGTGGAGTATTTGTGGAAAAGGATGCTAGGATTAGGGGGTGTGCACTGGGGGTGAAAGATGATGGGAGCAAACTGGTAAGGAGGCTCTGCTGGCTTATGTGTGCAGAGGGGAGCTGGAAAGAAGGCTGGGGAGGCGGGAACGTGGGGCAGGGCAAAATATTTGGGTGGGGTCCAGCAGAGACAGGAGTGCTGAGAGTGTCTGAAAGGGTGTGCAACATGGCCAGAGTGTGTATGCATGTTTTCTTAGGGGGTGTGCATGGGCGGGGTGTTTTGCGCTGGCGGCGGTAGGGCTGTGAGGAGAAAATGCATCCAAGGAGGAGGATGCAGGTCTGGGTGGAGAGGGTTAGTGAGTGACAGTGACAGCCTATGGTGACCACACCTGAGGACAGTCAGCAGAGAACTTTGAGGCTGAGGAGCAAAGGAGAGAGGAGAGGGGGCCAGGAGAAAACGAGAGAGTTTGGGAGGTGGGACCAGGATCTAGGCGAGGGGAAGCTGGATTTCTCTGCCTGAGTGCTTTCTTGGTTGACAGAGGGAATTCTGCCTCTGCCTGCAGAATATGGAGCCAAACAGAAGGAGGTGCTGGCTTGGAGAAGGGGCCAGAGCTCTCCTAGCTGACCCCCAGCCCTGCCTTCTTGGACACATGGCTCTTCCCAATCTCAGCAGTCCAGAAAGTGGATGTCACTGGGGGTCCTCCCCGTCCTGGGGAAGAAAGAGCCCCCCTGGGGACTTTAGCAGCCGCTGAGGCTGAGAACTCATGCGTTCAGGAAGCCCATGGAGACCCACTTCCCCCTGGGATCTCTTCCCAAAATACCCACCCCAGGGCCCCCTTGGACTCAAGCCCACCAAGCCACTGGGAGAAATGCCATCTGAGAACTTAACTGCTGAGGACCTGGATGCAAACCTGGTCTCCTAATCAGTCCCAGATTTGGGGCATGGTTTCTTGGGAAAAGTGCCAGGACCTTTAAAAGGGCACCTTTCATCTCCTTCACCCCCTGGCTCCCACCTCTCATGCAGAGCACCAGGAGGAGGCACCCAGCAGGAATGGGCGAGAGGGACTCAGAAGGTCTGCAGGGAGCCTTCCAGGAACTGCTGGCAGCTGGTCCAGCCCCATCCTCTTGCCCTTCCTGTCTCAAGTTTTGATCCTCTTTCCAGACCCTGGGGGACCTCAGCTGGGTTTCTTGCCCCCTAGGCTCCAGAAGAGGATTTCCTGCAGGTCTCACCTGGGGAGCCTTTTTGTGCTTAGAGGCTCCCAGGACAGGCTTGAGCCATGATACCACGTGCTCTGAAGCCCCACCTTCCACGTCTCTGGCCCCTGAGGTAGCTGCCTTCCTATGCCGCTGGCTCTTAAGTCCATGGTCACAGCCCCAGCCCCAGTGGGCTCCCTTCAACACTGCTGTTGCCAGCTGTCTAAGATGGATGACACCTGGGCCCAACTGCCCTGCCCCAGGCCACCCCACGCAGCCATGCTGCTGGTCTCCCTCCTCTTGGCAGCTGGGTTGATGCACTCGGATGCTGGCACCAGCTGTCCAGTCCTTTGTACGTGCCATAACCAGGTGGTGGACTGCAGCAGCCAGCGGCTCTTCTCCGTGCCCCCAGACCTGCCGATGGACACCCGCAACCTCAGCCTGGCCCACAACCGCATCACCACTGTGCCACCCGGCTATCTCACATGCTACATGGAGCTCTGGGTGCTGGATTTACGAAACAACTCCTTGGTGGAGCTGCCCCCGGGCCTCTTCCTGCATGCCAAGCACTTGGCACACCTGGATCTGAGCTACAACAACCTCAGCCATGTGCCCGCTGACATGTTCCAGAAGGCCCATGGGCTGGTGCACATTGACCTGAGCCACAACCCGTGGCTGCGCAGGGTGCACCCTCAGGCTTTCCAGGGCCTGGTGCAGCTCAGAGACCTGGACCTCAGCTACGGAGGCCTGGCCTTCCTCAGCCTGGAGGCCCTTGAGGGCTTGCCTGGGCTGGTGACCCTGCAGATTGGTGGCAACCCCTGGGTGTGCGGCTGCACCATGGAGCCCCTGCTGAAGTGGTTGCGGAATCGGATCCAGCGCTGTACAGCAGGTAAGGATGAGGGACGAGACTGGGCTGCAAGGAGGAGGGCTTGCCTCATTGAAAGCAGACTCCTAAAGTAGAGTCAGGGACGTAGAGCTCTTGAGCAACTACTGTGTGTCCTGATCCCTGCTTGCCTCTTTTAATTCACCAGCTCTGTCATTCAACAAGTATTTGTTGAGCACTTGCTATGCAGGCTAGGTGCTGTGGGCTCCCATCAGTTAATAAAATAGGCCGTTGCCTAAAAGAGGCCTTTGCTTCTGTGGTGCCTGCCTGTGACGTAATGGGTCAGACAGATAGTAAATACAAAGCTAGTAATAGACAGTGTTTAATGAGCTTCTACCTGGTGGCACAATGGTTGAGCACTCCACTGCCAACCAAAATGTTGGCAGTTTGAACCCACCCAGCAGCTCCGTGGGAGAAAGACCTGGTGATCCCTCCCGAAAAGGTTGTTGTTGTTGTTGTTGTGTGCTGTTGAGTCAATTCTGACTCATAACGACCCTATAGGACAGAGTAGAACTGCCCCACAGGGTTTCTCACTTTTATTATCTCCAGAGTCCCCGGGTGGTGCAAACCAAAAGGTTGGAAGTTCAAGACCACCCAGAGGCTCCTCAGAAAAAATGTCAAGCAATCTACTTCCCAAAAAAAAAAAAAAAAGCATCAGCCATTGAAAATCCTCTGGAGCACAGTTTCTTCTCTTGACATTCATGGGGTCACCATGAGTCAGAGTCAATTCAGTGGGAAGGAGACTGAACAGGACTTTATCATCCTCGTCTTACAGGTGAAGAGACTGAGATTTAGAACAATCAAAAGACTTTCCCAATGTCACTCATTTAGAAAATAGGCAGGGCCAAGGATAAAACCCAGGCATATTCCATTTCTAAGCCCTGTTCTACTCTACCAGACTTCTTTTTAAGTTTACTGAGCACTGAGAAAACTCTCTAACAAATGGGGATTGCCCCTACTATTTGTTACAGTACTCACTATGTGCCAGGACCTCTTCTAAGCATATTACATATATTAGTTCATCTCCTCATAAGAACCCTAAAGAGGTCCCACTTTCTAGAGGAGGACTCCAAGGCACAGAGAGGTTCAACAGCTTGCCCAAAGTCACATAGCTGCTGAGTGGAGTCAGGATTTGAACCCTGGCGGACAGTCTGGCTGTCCTCTGGATGTACCTGAAGAGTCAGGTTCTGGGCTAACAGGAGAGTCAGGGCTTGAGCTCTGGGCAGGTCAAAGGGCCTCAGCAGAGTTCTGCAAGCTTTGCTCATAGGGTGGGGAGCTGAAAGGAGGCGTTAAGATGTGGCAACCTAGCCAGCCATTCCCAGCTGGAAGGTGGATTGGGGCCTGAAGGAGCCCAAACTACACAGGAATGATGGGCCCTGGCCTCACCCAGTGGAGCCCAAGCTGGCCTGGTGGTAGGCGGTGTTCAGCTGTGGCCCCTCTATCACCAACCCTCCCTTGTACAGCACTGAGCCTGGGCCAGCCTCCACAGTAGAACAACAGGAAGAGCTTATGGTCCCATCCCAAAGACTTCCACCGTGCCCGGGCTCAGCGTGTGCAGAAGAAGCCATGCTGAATGAGGTAGGAGGAAGAAGAGGACTGAGTGGGGAGCCCAGCACCAAAATAGCTTGTGGGGGGCTGTGGGTCACGATTCCAGAGTTTCCACAGAGCTGTGGGAGGAACTTCTCTGGGACCAAAATAGCTGGGGACTGAGATGGGGCAAATGTGGGGTACAGAAGGGGAGGCTTCTGGAGCAGTTTCCCTGCCAGCTTAACCTCGGTGCCTCCCCACCCTCTCCCCTCCACTATGGACAGAAAGGGTAGTCTGGGGCACGCTGCTTCCCTCAGACCCATGGGCTCCTCTTTCTCTGTGATCTCTGAGGTCCCCACTGCCCTTCTGAAGAATCACAGACTCCCAGCAATCAGGTGAGGGTCTGAGATACCATCACTGCAGCCTCACACATTGGTATAGATGAGGGACCCGTGGTGAGAAAGCAAGGAGGCCACATCTAAGAATCCAGGGTCCCCATTTCTCCATAGAAGGCACTTCGCACCACGTCACACCCTCCAGGGTATTTCCTCTTGGGGACCAAGAACTTGCCAGTGTAAGTAGGGCTAGCTGATCGTCTTTCTCCTTTTTTCTTTTTGCAATTCCCACAATAACTCAAGTGCTTTGGACAAATTCCAACAGACAGGGACCTAAGGGCACCCTTAGGGCATAGCCTAACTTCAAGATTGGCCCTCTGATTCACCAGAGAGCACTGTCAGGCCCAGGCTCCCATTCTGGACTCCTGCAGGGTCCTACCATTGCCCCCAGAGTCTTCTCTGGCTGGTCCATGCCCATGTCCCCACATCTCTCAGCCATTCATTCTCTCACCACTATCCCCCAACACACACACACGCACGCACACACACTTGAACAATAGATTTGGAGGCTCAGGATCTTCCAGTTTCCAGAGGAGAGCGCTTGAGGGGTCAACTCCAGACACCATCTAAGCCTGGGCCAGGTCTGGAGTACTGTGTACCCAGCCTGCAAGGACCACTCAGCCTGTGGTTTGGGGCAAGCAGCATCCAAACCTGACTCCCCATTTCTAAAGATAATGACACACATTCATTTCTCAAAAGGGTCGATCCAAATCAACATTTTATTCTCTGCCCTCAAAAACTGCAGATTGAATAAAGAGCACATAAAGCGCATAATTTAGAAAAGTTCTTCACATTGACCCTCTGAGACAATGTAGGTTGGATTAGCCACCTTTCCGTAGAGGAAGAGCATGAAAGCCAGAAAGGCAAAAACAACTTGCCCAAAGTGAGAGATTTTGTCATATTTATCTAGTGAATGAGTGGCTGGCTTCTGGAAAGCTTCCTCTTCACTGGCCTTGCTCCAGTGGTGGCAGCCGTTGGCTGTGATGTCCAGGAGGAAGTGAGTGGCCACGGAGGAAGTGAGCGGCCACACCCATGATCCCAGCAAGAGCCCTGGTGGCACAGTGGTTAAGCGCTCAGCTGCTAACTGAAAAGTCATCAGTTTGAACCCACCAGCTGTTCCACAGGAGAAAGATGTGGCAGTCTGCCCCTGTAAAGATTTACAGCCTTGGAAATTCTATGGGGGTGGTTCTACCCTGTCCTATAGGATCGCTGTGAGTCAGAATTGATTCGACAGCAGTGGATTTGGCTTGGTGGGTATTATGTACCAGGAAAAAATTATACCAAGGTATAATTTACAGGTATTAACCCTATGAGGTATATACTATTACTAGTCCCATTTAACAGATGAAAAAACCAAGGCACAGAGAGGTTAAATAACTTACTCACAATCACACAACTAGTGAAGGGTGGAGAGGAGATTGGAACCCAGGCCAGTAGCTCCAGAGTCCATACTCTTAACTCTACACCCTGTGAATCTGGAAAAGTCACCTGGGGGAGCAGAAAGATCCAATGCTTTGAAATTGGACAAAGTCATTCATTCATGTATTCATTGAACAAAGATTCAGTGAGCACTTAGGATGGATAAGACACTGTTCTGATGCTAAGGATACTCCAAGAAGAGCTAATATTCAAGTGGGAGAAGATGGACAATAAATAGACTGTCAGACAGGGATGAGTAATACGGAGAAAAATAAAGCAGAGTAGATGAGATGGGGAGAGCCTAAGCAAGGTGAAGTGGGGGCTACTATTTTATGTAGGATGGTGGTAAGGGAAAAACTCACTAATAAGGTGAATATTTCAGCAAAGACCCAAAGAGAATAAGGGATTGAGCTGTGCAGAGATCTGGTGGAGAAGTGTTTCAGCAAGGAGGAAAATGCAGAGGCCTCCTCAAGAGGGGACATGCTTGGGGTCATGGAAGAATGGCCAGGAGGTGAGTGTAACTGGAGCAAAATCAATAAGGAGGAGAGAGGAAAAGATGAGGCCACTGTGAGGACTTTGGCCTTGACTCTGTGGGAAGATGGAAAGCCAGTGGAGGGTTTCAAGCAGAGTAACATGATCAGACTTTAGGTTTGAAAGGATCACTCAGCCAACTGTGTTGAGATGGTTTAAGGGTAGAAGTCAAGAGATGAGTTAAAAGGCGATTGTAAAAGATGATACCGGTTTTCACTGAGTTGACTCCAGGACATGACGACCCCATGCATAGCAGAGTAGAATTGTACTCCATAGGGTTTTCAATGGCTGATTTTTCAGAAGTAGATCACCGGGACTTTCTTTCAAGGTGCCTCCGGGTGGACTCCATTTGCACCATCCAGGGACTCCATAAGAGATGATGGTGTCCCATAAAAACCCCAGACCTACTACTAGTGGTAGCTATGGCACTTTAGGCAAGTTATGAAACTCTCCAAGCAGTGATTTTCATATCTATAAAAATACCTGCCTTGAGGGCTGTTGGGGGAATAAAGATGATAAGTAATGTTTTTGTCACATGGAAAAAACTAAACAAAGTGTTTCTTCCCATCCTCTGTGACTGGTGGGAACTCTTTAACCCACTCCCCTCGACCTCACCCTCCCTGGGTCCTCTGTTGCAGATTCTCAGCTGGCCGAGTGCCGGGGCCCCCCTGAAGTGGAGGGTGCCCCACTCTTCTCCCTCACCGAGGAGAGCTTCAAGGCCTGCCACCTGACGCTGACCCTGGACGATTACCTCTTCATCGCCTTTGTGGGCTTCGTGGTCTCCATTGCATCCGTGGCCACCAACTTTCTTCTCGGCATCACAGCCAACTGCTGCCACCGCTGGAGCAAAGCCAGCGAAGAGGAAGAGATTTGACATGGCAGCCTTGAACCGCTTCATGCTACCAACCGCCACTGCCGCTGACCACTGGATGCCCTCGCTCATTGCCTACTCTGGTTCCATGCATGATGCCCTGGCCACCATTGTCATGAGAACAAGGTCAGGAGACTCACTTTGTCTGGGTATCAACTTTGGGCCAGGTACTGTGCTGAGAACTGGGAACATGAGATGAATCCGACCCAGTCCTCACCCTTGAGGCACTTACCTCTAGTAGAGGAGAGAGATTCCAACACTATTCCCTTTAAGATGGTGGGTCAGTACTAGGAGCACATACTTATGCAAGCCCAGAGGAGGGAACCATCGATATGCCTAACAGAGTCCAAGAGAATTACAAGACTGAAGGTGATTGGGGGGCTGGCCGGTGAAGTACGACTAGGAAATTGCCGAGCAGACAAAGAAGGGAGGACATAAGCAAACGACAGAAGCCAGAAGGTGCATGGTTTGTTGAGAACCATGAACCATTCCTTGTGACTTAAGTGCATCGAGGGGGAATGACACAGAACCAAAACTCTCCCTCTGACACCCAATCTGTTGGCTCTCAGCATTGCCAAACACTGCCTCCAGAGAATGAAAAAGCCTTCCCGCCAACCCCCTCAGCCTCCTTCTATCAGAAGCTACCAGGGAAGACCACCTCCCGGTGACTGCACCCCATACTCTACATTGCCAACTGTAGCCTTCTGGTGAGGTCTCAGGCAGCAAGCTGAGGACAGACACCTTTCATTGCCCTTTCTCCTGCTCTGGCCTCCTGCCTCTCACTCAAGCCTGTGCTTCAGAAGAGGGAGGCAGGGAAAGTGGGCAGCAAGAGTGACCTGTCCACTAATTATGTGATCTGTTCTCCCCAAGGTGCTGACACCAAGAGTTCTCACCAGGAAAGTACACTGTGGGCTGCAGACCTGTAGCATCACAGTACCCAGGGATGAAGGAGGAGAAAGCGTCCACAGTGATGACCACAGGGGGCTTTGCTCTTTCTTCTCACCCATTTAAGAATAAGGATGGCGGCGGTGGTGGTGGTGGTTGCCAGCAAGTCGGTTCCACCTCATGGTGACCCCATGTGTTACACAGAAATTCTCCCTAGGGTTTTCTTGGCAGTAATCTTAATGGAAACACATTGCCAGGCCCTTTCTTCCATGGTACCTCTGGGCAGGTGCAAACCACCAACCTTTAGGTTAGCAGCCTAGCACAAACCGTTTTCAACACCTAGGTGGGAGAGTTATTAATTACCGCGCACTAGCCAGTGCCAGGCACTGTGATAAGCTCTCTCCACAGGCGATTCCCTGTAATGTACACAAAAATCTTGTGAGATGAGTTTTAATGTTCTCGCTTTACAGATGAAGAAATTAAGTTTCAGAGAGTTAAAGTCACTTGCTACTTACTGAGCAAAATTAAGGCTGTGCCCTTTCTACTACTCCATCCAAGTCTGTGAACAATTCCCTCTCAAGTGATAGATATAAATTTGGATTCCAGCAGTGTTGATGAAGCTCCTATAAGGGCGAGGCACTGTGCTGGGCACTTTTACATATGCTGGCTCATTTATTTCAGTTCTCACAGCAACACTGCCTGGTGTTTTTATTTTTCCCATTTTACAGATGAATTAACTACGGCTCAGAGAGCTAAGTAACTGACCCAAGGATATCTGGATAAACCCAGAAGGAAGGTGATAGGTAGCTCTATCCAGGGAAATGATGCCTAATTGATTGGTCAAAAATTAAGTAGCTTTGGCTGCAAAGCACAATTATCATCATCGTCATTGTCACCTTTCTCATTATCTTCATCAGCTTCATTATAATCTTCACTATATTTATTCTGCCCAGGACAGTTCATGAAACATCTTTTGCATCTTCCTCCTTGACTTTTCACAACCCTGTGTTGGAGGCAACCAAACATCATTACTCCTATTTTACAGATGAGAAAGCAAGGGCTCAAGAGAGAATGTGACTCACCTAAGCAGCAGGGTTGGGACTCCTGACTCCAACTCAGTTCTTTTTCCAGTGCTTTCCCGGATGCTTGGGGAAGAGACTGCATTGGAGGGCTGGGTGGTAGGGCCCTCGATCCAGCAGCCATGAGCATGTTAGTAGATCTGCTAAATAAAGGGCAGTGAACCCAAGCCGCTGTGAAGATTTAGATCTGCTCATTGTAGGGCAAATCACAGCCTCTGAAGCATAGAGCCACACTAGGACTGGTGGCCATGGTGGCAGTCATGTAAAAAATTAGATCTTTGGGAAACAGGAGAGGAAGCCATGTTAACCACTCCTACATAAGCCCTACTGTGTTGTGTTGTAAGAGAAACTAAGGGTGAAGAGAAAGCTGTGGAGTAACAAGTTCTGTAGTTTAGGTGAAGAGGATAGTAGTACCCTGAAGGAGGAGGAGACAAAAGACAATGTTAGCATATCTCTGACTAGTCTTCAAAGCACAATCATAATCTAATATGTTGGCAGGGCTGGCCTGGACAAATCAGAACAGAAGCACTCTTCCTTGACCCTAGCCCCAGTAGGCATCCATCACCCCATCCCCCCCAGCCAGGCCTGAAAAGTATGTTGGAAGATAACACATTACCTTCCAGGAACTCTTTCCTCCCTGATGCTTCTCAGAGAGTTCTCTGGTGGTGCAAATGGTTAACGCACTCTGCTGCTAAACCAAAATGTTGGAGGTTCAAGTCTACCCAGATGCTCCTAGGAAGAAAAACCTGGAGATCTACTTCCAAAAAATCAACCATTGAAAACCTTAGGGAGCACAGTTCTACTTTGACACACATGGGGTCACCATGAGTCAGAATGGACTCAACAGCGACTGATGGATGCTTCCCTGAGCTAGTCAACCACAAGAGTCCCCAAAGACTTTGCTGGACTTGGAGAACTTGAACCCTATGTCCCTTGAATCTCTTCTTACAACATCTTGGCCAGAGCCCTGCTCCTGGGACATCTGAAGCAAAACTGCACACTGTCTCTTCTTCCATGATGGCCAAAGAGGGGCGGACTTGGGCTGCTCTCTACCAGTGCAGCTGACAACTTAAGTATTTAGGGAGAATCTCTTAGAAATGATAGTCCTAACACAAATAGTTAAACCTCCTGTAGAGGAACACAATGTGTACTTATGATAATCTCCTAGGGACTCTTGTTTGCTAATATATAGCTAATATATTTCAAGATATACATTTTTTTGCATAGAACTAGGACCAAACAAGATGCCAAACGCCCCTTAAGATCAGATGTTCTTTCTATTGGGACAATTTGGTCTCCATTAATGGCAAATCTTTCTGAGAAGGTTACATGACTTTTAAAGAACAGATTTCTCCAGCTTCTAGAAGGTCCCCAGTTAACTTAAGCACAATGAGGGAGGTGATGTGATTCATTCAACCTCCCTACTTCCAAGGAATTCCCTGCTGCCCACCACCACCACCACAACGTTCAGGCTGTCAGAAGCAACAAATAAGCACACTTTTAGAGGTAATCTAGAAATCCTGGTTAGAACTGTTCCTACTGGTGTTCCCTGGTGACCAAGAGCCCATAGTGGTGTTCCCACAAGGCTGCATTATTTCTTTTCCAAACTGGTTAACATGTATATGTTGGAGTATCTCTGAGTCATTTTGTCTGTCTATAAGTTCTTTATGTGTTGGATATCTGCTGACATGGAGCAGATCTCTCTGGAATTTGCATTCAGTTCTCTGACATAGTCTAGTCAGCCTTCTGTCTGTTGCATCTTTTGATACACCAAGATGGACACCAATCAGGCTTGGGTGGGGCTGGCTGCTCTGAAAATATGAAAAAAGAAAAATCTGTGGCTGAGGCAGTCTAGTGAGAGTTTGACTTCTTCCTGCCTCCCTCCAGAGACTTGTCCTAGTCACAGGAGCTTTCTTCATGCTGGACCCAAGAATGTCAAAGTTTAGCGAACCAACTAGGGCTACAATGATCAAGGTGTAGGTCAAGAAAATTGTTCTTTGAAAAGACGTCACATTCACACCACTGTAGACCAATCGCCTCTGGTCACCCTCAAACAAACCCCCATCTCTGCTTCTCCATTCCCAAGGATCCCTGAAAAAATAGGTCCTTAGAGTTGCTATAAAGTTTCCTGGCTCTTTTCGAGGAGCTTGATGTATAAAATTTGAAAAGATCAAGGCAAGTAGTTCTCTTCAACCATCAAGCAAGACTTACAGCCCTCATTTTACCCTAGATATCTGACATCCTTTCCAGCTCTAGAAGCATATAAGGAGACACTTTTGTCCATTCCTCAGAAGGACTTCTTCCCATAGTTAGAGGAATTCATCTGCTCTTGCCACCCAAGAAGGAGGCAAAAGGGAAATGAGAGAGGCAAATTGCAAGGTCCTTCGTAAATCACCATAGTTTTGCCACAGCACTAGGTGGAGAGCTCTGGATCCACAAAGCTCTCAGTTTTTCTAACTGCTGCCCTGCAGAGTGCTGATGTATGGGAGTGGGAGGGTTTGGGAGGGGTGGGAAAAGGGAAGATGCCAACCTTTGTATGGAGATGATTTTATAACCATGCATTTTTGTAACTGTGAAGAATTTTTCATAAATGTACATTAATAATAAAGAGTGTATAGTTTAACAAATTTTCTGAAGAGTTGTGAAGAGGAGGGAAAGGGAGGGAGGCAGGGAAAGAAAGAGAGAGAGAAAGGAACTAGGCAGAACCAAGAGAACATGTGCCAAAATATACACACAAAAGATCTGTGGGGAGGGTGTAGATGGAAATAATTAGGAGATGTGCCAGCCATGGAGGGGCATATGTGGGAGTAGAAGGAACATCGCAGAAGCATATTTCTACCAGGAAAAAGGAAAATGTGTGTGTCTGTATGCACACACCCCTATGTGTAGGCATATTTTGATGCCTGAAATTACACAAAGAAGAAAGCATATGTCTCATACATGTTGGAGTTTACAGATTGGGTCATCCTTAAAACATGCCAAGGCAAGTGGGTGTGCCTGCCTAGTTAGCATCACTAAGGAGTACGTGCCAGGCAGATA